AAAACATCTATAACCTTATTTTGGTTTTCTGAAAAAACTCTTTACTAAATTTTATTCCCAATCATGCCTTTGTTTTATTTGGCTCTTTAATTTCATAAGCTTTGTTTTTTTTTGTATATTTTTTAAAGGGTTGTTGCTGTAACTATGGCAATATTTAAGATAATATGAATTTTTTAAAACAATAAGATAAATCATATACAATATATAATTTATAAAGCAATAAGAGTTAACTTTAACATAAACATATACAGTATATAAGACATAACATAAACATAAGAAACATATACAGTATATAAGAGTTAATTTTTATTCAGTATTAATAACCATATTTTAAATCAATTTAATTGTGATTTATAATATTGTTTTCCAAATAAACTGTAGGATGAAGCAAACCTTTTTTTTGATAGATTTCTTTTTTTATTCTTTTTTATTTTTTTTAGTTGTCTTTTTAAATGTCTTTCTATGATTAAAATAATGTCCATCCATAATGCGGTAGTGGTGTAGTGGTAAGAGCGCTTGCTTTGTAAGCGAGAGGTTCGGAGTTCGACTCCCACCATGTCCCTAGAAGTACCGCGCTCAACTTAATTTCTCCGCGCAGCGGCCTTGCTTGTCAAAATTCGTGTTTCGGAGTTAAAGAGTTGAGAGAGGGTTGTACCACGATTTACAAAAAAAAAATGAGTAGCCTTCTCGACTGTAGTGGCCCCCACGGGCCTTGGTGAGGTGAATAATTAAAAAAAAAAAATTGAAATAATCAGCAGTCAATATGGCTATATTTTTTTTATTATGTTAATAAATTTAATTAAAATAATTTAAAGTAATAATATATATTTAATAAAAAAAGATATAATACAAATAACTTAAGAATAATTATAACAATAATAATAATAAAAATAAAGGAATTATAAAAATTAAGTAAAAAGCTTTTCTCATTACTATATTTTATTACTTTAAGAAATTAGAAAATTTTAAAACTAGTCTAAAATTTAGTATTTTATTTCAGTTTTTTTATTAAATTCATATGAAAGAGATTTAAATGCATCAACTTTTTTGTTTATAAAATTTGTGCTTTTATTTTCCTATGAATTGTTTTTTTGTTCCTCAATATGTATTTATATTAACATAAAACACTCACGAGAGACCAATTATTGGGTTCAGGACCTTTTTTTTATGATGCTTTATGGTGTTTACTTTAGTTTTAAAGCTTTAATTTCATATTGCCATGTTTCAAAACCATGTTTCTTGGGCTTGGACTTATGGACTTCTTGGACTTATGGACTTATTATATAAGTTCATAATTTTACTAGTTACTTCAATGTTTGCAAAAACAATACTGTGGACTGTATTTTATACATACACATACACATATATATATATATATATATATATATATATATATATATATATATATATATATATATATATATATATATATATATATATATATATATATATATATATGTATATGTGTGTGTGTTTGTGTGTGTGTGTCAACCCTCGGAATTAGGGTCTGCATTCGGCAATGTTGACCTAACTGCCGAGCTGAAAGTATTTGAAGTCAGCAAATAATTACTGACCTTGTTTCCATGTTTTATGGTAAGACCTTTGTATCAAATAATTTTTGCTGACCTGATGCCGATCTCTAAAAGATTGAGGTCAGCAATAATTTATGGACCTCATTTTTTCTGATTCCGAGGGTTGGTGTGTGTGTACTATTTTATTGACAGATTAATCTAATAACTCCATGCTAACCCTAATTTTTTGATAACCACACTGAGTTGTACATACATCAAATGACTTAAATAGAGAGAATATTTAGAGAGTGTGCATACATCATCTGACTTAATAAGGGAGATTATGTAAGGAATGTATATTAATTGTCTAATAGTTTTTGTTCAGGCAGGAAATATTAATTAGTGAAAGAAGTATTTTTTATATTTATTTATACTTTTTCTGATCTGGTTTATTAGTGTTCAAGAGCATACAAACATATAGTTAAGAGATTTAATCTATATCAATTTTGCTACTACAACTTTTTAATTTTTTAAATGCAATTTTTTTAATGGCATTTTTTTAATTAAAAGAAAAAAAAGTTTTATAATTTACTTTAGTCTTGCTTTTAAATGTTAGATTTAAAGCTACATATTGAAAATTAAAACAAAAAAAAAAGACAAAAAGACATCAACCCAAGGCCATCATGAAAAAAATTACTGAAGGGTGATTTTTCAAAGTGACTATTTGTCTAAGTAGAAAATAATCTCTGTGGATGTTTTTTCTCTAATAAATAAGTTTGATATTTATTTATTATTACTTTTCAAAGTGACTATTTGTCTAACTAAGTAGACAAATAATCTCTGAGGATGTTTTTTCTCTAATAAATAAATTTAATATTTATTTATTATCAATTATCAATATCTCATTATCAACAAATTAATGTAGTATTATGGTATCATAACGTTTCACAAAAACAGATGTGCAGGTTCAAATTGTGAAGAGGATGTTTTTTTTATTCTTGTAACATTTTATGTTAAAAGAAATAAAGTCACAATATAAAACATGTTTTAGTACTTTGTAGGGGTTCCTTGAGCTTTTAGAACAACCTCTAGTTTTTGCGATATTTATGCAATAAGAGACGCAGATGGCACCAGACTTTCATAATAGCTTTTCTCAGATCTACTAGTGAGGTTGGATTCTGTTTAAAAACTTCTGTCTTCAAATTTACCCGTCATTTTTCAATGGAGTTGAAATTTACCCAACGGTTTTCAATAGAGATGGAAATGGATAAATTCCTTGCCAGGGGACAAGAACATTATTGGATTTCTGGATAATTGCATGCATATTTTTTTTAATTTCCAAATAATTTGTGGAATTCTTGTTCTCATCTTATAAAAGGTGTAAACCATATGACCATTGGTAATGATTGCCCCCTAAATCATGATTGTTAGACACAGAATAACAGAAGGTGTAGTATATTGAGGATTGAAGAGTTTGGTTGCCGGCATACATAAACTTGTGTGGTGCGAACTGTATGTCTTAAGATTTATTTGAAAGCATGACACATTGCTGTATTTTAGAAGTTGAGCAAGATTTTGTGTGCGTAAAATCTTCTTTTACTTCACCTTCTCAGCCAAATGGAGTATCTCTTCTCCTTCACAGCCAAATGGAGTATCATGTTGGTTTTTATTAATTCTCAGTTTTCCACAGAATGATTAGCTGTTTGATTGTTGCCAGCATGATTTTTTTGCATTTATAAGTATTTATCTTTAATAATTATTTATAAATTATTATATAATTTATAAATAAAATTACCTAATGTATTATATTATTGTTCAAGAAAGAAATATTGTCTCTTTTTCCATGGTAAATAGGAAAATGAGACAGTGCAATCACATTTACAATGGAAAAGGAAAACAAATTTGAAGATTATCATTGTGAAATCAGAGATATTACCATCTAAGATAACAATCTTGGATGGTAATATCTGTGATTTCAATTTTTAAAAACTCTGGTGAACATTCTGACCCCTCCAACTATCGCCTGATCTTTTTTTTATTATTATCAAGGTCTCTGACAATTAATATGGTTTTCAATCTTCTTGTTCTACAAATGACTTGCTAACTCCTGTGACTGAAAAATTCTATTATGTACTAGATGGCAAGAGCTATTGCTCTTGACATATCTAAAGCTTTCAATAATGTTTGGCATGCTGGTCTTCTCCATATGCTTACTTAATATGGTGTATCTGGAAAATTTTGTGAAAAAAAATCACTTTTTTTTAACTGCTTTATTAAAGTCTTTCTCAAAGGCCAACACTTCTTCTTTCCAGTAACTTCTAGGGGACCTTAAGGTTCTATCCTAATATCAAGAAACGCAAAAAAAGCATTAAAATTAATTTTATTAATTTTAATGTTTTTTTTAATCATTATATAGGAGACAAAAAAATATCTATAGACATCACCATGCCAACGGTAGTTGTTTTACCGTTTATAGTAAAAACTGCTTCTTGATATTCTGCTTACAATAAACTCAAGCTTTAAACTAAAGAAAGTTTGTTCATTAAATCAAAAAAAACAGATATGAACAAATAGATAAACCATAGTTTCTTTTTCTATATTATTTGCATATTTATAATACCATATTATTCAAGTTGTTAACACTTTTGTATTATTTAATCATCTGTTTAAATTTTTATTGTCCTTATTGCACATGAAGTAGGTTGTACTGGGTTAGTACAACCTGATGAAGCAAGTTGTACTAACCCAGTACAACCTACTTCATGTCCTGCTACCTTGTAGAATATGCTTTTTTAGGTAAAGGCTAGGAGAAATTAACTCCCTCTTAAAACACTCTCTGCCTTGGAGATCTTAGTTGAGTAAAGGCTAGAGATGGTGTCTTGATAAAAAATACTCATCATGGGCAGATTTTAAATGTATCCAGCTACTGTCTTGTAGAAAGCCTCCTAAGCAAAGACTTAATGGATAAGCAGATTCTATTTGTTGACCAGACTTGCACCCCTTTTTCATCTATTAGGCTGGCGCAGATGTATTTATAATACATTGTTTCTGGTTTAGGATGTTGAATGCTGGATCTTCTGGATTTTCTCCTAATGAGAGTACAGCTCAAAAACTCAGTTTTATAGTTCTGAGGTCAGCTGATAATCAGGTTTCCCAAACTCTGTGGTAGGTCTCAGACAGGTTGATTCTATCAACAGCTGTAAAATATCAGAATTCTTACAGTGCCATGTTGCATGGATATTGTTCCAGTTTGTACTTTTGGATATCGTCCCAGTTTGTACTTTTTGTACACATGGATATTGTCCCAGCTTGTACTTTTGGTGTGCATTGTCGAGGCCAAATTTGGAGCCCTTTGTTACAGCTTATGGTTTATTAATAATATTGAGGTTATTAAAAAGTGTACTGAGTACTATCTGTGCTTTAAGTCAAGTTCTTTGAAACTTCTGTAGAATCTTTAACAGTATCTATAATAAGGAGCAATCTGCTATTCCACCTCAAACCACCCGCCTCAAGTCCTTAAGTAGATCCCTCTCTCCATTAATGATCGGCTATGATAAAATTCTTCCAATGATAAAATAATAAACTCATCAAAAACAGAATATAAAGCAGCACTTAAGCAAAATGGTTTTAAAACTTTAACTTAAAGTACAACCCAAAAGACAAGACACCCCTCAAAAGAAAAAGGAATATAATTTGGTTTAACCAATAAAAGCATAATTGGTTTACAATAAAAGCATCTCTATCATTGTTGGCCAAGTCTTTTTGCTATTATTTGATAAGCATGTCATGACGAAAATAATATTCTATTAAGCAACGACAAACCTGAAGATTAGATACATGCGGTATTTCAAAGAAGAATAGAATATGCGGTTTTTCTGTATAGTTTAACGTAACTAGTTCCAATTGTATATAATTTTTTAATGAAAACATTGTGTATTTCACCTGATGATTGGAATAGAATGAAACTTAAAGTTTAAAAAAAATCTATATCTATATCTATATATATCTATATATATATATATATATATATATATATATATATATATATATATATATATATATTATATATATATATATATATATATATATATATATATATATATATATATATATATATATATATATATCTATATATATATATATATATATATATATATATATATATATATATCTATATATATATATATATATATATATATATATATATATATATATATATATATATATATATATATATATATATATATATATATATATATATATATATATATATATATAGATATATAGATATATATATATATATATATATTACTTAGATAATAATGTTTTACCAATATATTTTAAAATATATTAGTTTATACTTTTTAAAATTTTTAGAGGACAGTGTTGAAAAGATGATTCAAAGTAAAGGTTTTTTAAGCATGCTAAAAGTCAATGTTGCACAGCGTAAACGAATAAACATGCAACCTCCTGTCCAAAATGTTAGATCACTTTTTATCTTTTCTCCTACAAACAGGTTAATTTTTTTTAAATTTATATATAACAACAAAGAATACATGTTTACCATAGTAACCATAGTATTTTATATTAATTAGTTTAGAGTAAATCCCCACCTCCATTAATGACAGGTTGTCATAAAATTCCTCAAATAAAAAAAAAATTCTGTTTAAGATTTGTTGTTATTATTTAAGTTGGTTTGTTAATTAAAAGTACAATTTCTCATTTCACTTCCTCAATACTTCCATTGAAATGCCATTAAAGTTTGCACAAAAATTATTAAGAGAATCATAAAAGGCCACGACAAAGAGAGAAACTGACCCTGCAATTATGTATATATAGCAAGTTGCCTAATGACTGTCTTAAATGTAATTTATTAAATTATTATCATCCCTAAATATTCTGGATAAAGTATGTATTGATAAATATATCAAAAAATGAATGAAAAAAAAGTAGAAAAACCACTAAACCCACTTGCAAACAAAAACTGCAAAGTTCTACCATTTTTCTAGAAGTAGATTTGAAAAATCAAACAAAACCTCAAAATATTAGCCAGCTGAACCTATGGTTTATTATCAAAAAGGTTTCGGCATTCAATAACATTACAAAAAAGTAGTCACTTTTTCACAAAAAACTAATAACAGTTTCCCACGAAGGTAATCAAGAACTGCTGGACAAATAAAAAAATAAAAAGCATAATGTAGTTTTACCTCAAAATAACTATATGCATGAAACTTAAAAAAAGTAGTTTATGTAGTTTTATTTTTTATCTTGTCAAATAAACAGCTTTGATATCAATCTTGAGCATTTTTGTTGAATACAAAATAATACACAAATAATAAAATTTATTTGAAATTTATGTTGACTGACTTGACACATTACAAGTTTAATAGTTCTATTGTAAATAGATTTAAAATATGATCATGATTGGAATTCAGTTTTTTAGACAAAAAGAGGTTTTAATTGGTTTTGAGATAAAAAGAAGTTTTAGTTGGTTCTGAGATAAAAAGAGGTTTTGATTGGTTCTGAGATAAAAAGAGGTTAAAAATATTGATTTCAAGTTAATGTTTTTGTAAGCAGTATAGTTTCCATACTTGGATTTATTTCTAATTGAAGTTAAAATTTTAGGCTTTCTTTAAGTTTGCATTTAAATGTCTATTAATCTAAATAATACTTACCATTCACTTTTTTTTTACTTTTTTTATTTAAATTTTTTTTTACTTTTTTTTTTATATAAATTACTTAAACAAAACAGTTTCTTTTTTCATATTCCTTGTACACTCTTATTCAACTATTTTTTTTTTAGGTTCAATTTAGTTTAATACTTTTCTTAGTTGTGTTTTAAAAACATTACTTTTAAAGGTTTCGTGTGTTATGTCACAAGATAGTTTATTCTCGATATTTTGATCCTTTTATGGTTATAATGATAGTATTAAGTTCTCTGGTACTTTGTATTCAAGATCCAGTAAATGATAACAATTCTATTAATTTAGTAAGTAAAATTTTGAAATATTATTTATAAACAAATAAATTTATATACATATACAAAAAATAAATATATAACATACATATGATAAATATGTTTATATAAGGGTATTATAAGCTTGAATAAAGCCATTATAAAATCAAATATATGTACATATTTACACATATATGTATATATATAAATATGTATATATATAAATATATATATATATATATATATATATATATATATATATATATATATATATATATATATATATTCAAATTTTTATATTCAAAAAAGATTGAGAAATTCAAAAAACATGTAGTCTTAAAATCTTCTTGATTGTTGATCAAGAAAGATTAGACATACTGGAATGGTGGAGACCTGTTGGAGTCAAATGTTGAAAAATGGAAAACATTTTTTTTTTTTAAACTTTCCATTTGCTATTTATTCTGCAAAAGATCAGAGCTGGTTGTGTAAAGAGTTTTGTTGGCATATTGGAGAATGATTTGAGATGTTGGCATATTGGAGAAGTGTAGAGAACTAATGGTTTTTAAACATCCATAAAGGGCATTTACTGCTCATCAAAATTCAAAGAGACAACAGGATGCTGTCAAAAAAAAGTTAACAGGTCAAAAAAATACTTTTATCAAAAGGGACTGTATACAATCAGATGGTTGATGGCAGCTTGCAATACAGAATTGTGGGTAAGCGCAACCGTAACATCATAAAAATGTTTTTTAAAACTGTTTATTTTGTAATTAAAAAGAACTGGATAGTCTGGGAAAACTTTAGTGATATTGTTGAATTTATTAGAGATCTTAGCGATGAGGAGATAGAATCGCATTTTAAACTTGCTAGCAAACAAGCAACATAAACATCAGCAACTAGTGTTGATCAATTCGTCAAAATAATAAGTGATAAATTAGACAATTAGGTTTGCCCAAAAATTATTTTGGCACATGACTTAAGTGTCTTTTCTGTTTACATTAGGTATGTTTATTCTGATTCTCATACTATTGAAGAAATGTTTCTTGGTTTAGTCCGAGTTATTGGAAGAAAGGGTGCGCAAACCTTATGTGAATAAATAAAACTAGTTTTAAAATCTAAATCAATAGATATCCAGCAACTGCGCTTCCATGGCTTTGATGGAACTAACACAATAAGTGGGGTGCGTAATGGTTTACAAGCTAAGCTAAAAAGAAAATTTCTTCATACTCAAAGTACAATAACTGCTGTTGTTATTGTTTAGCTACTGTGTGTGTACACTTAATGAAGGAATATGATATCCTAGTTAGCGTTAATGCTAATATCTTGGGAGTTTGGAAAGCCATGAAATATTCCAGTGTATAGGCCTCAATATTCGATGCAGTACAAAATGATGATGATTTAAAACTTTACTTAAAGCTGCTCCAATGCATCTCATGGTGCTTCTTCAGTACAACTTTTTTAAAGGTTTGAACAAGTTATAAACAGCCTTGATTTGATTGTTGATGAGAAGTACAATGTGGAGTTAAACAGTCTAACATATCAATTACTTGTTCCTGATAATATACTATTTTTGCTTTTACTGGCTGATGTTTTAGTCCCAAGTAAATAAATTTGCAAACTTTTTACAAACACTAAACCTAGTATACTTAAAGATTAACTGAAAATTAGACCTTAAAAAACAAGCTTAACCATATATCCAATGGTAAAAGTCCATTATTTAACACTCATTTAAATAAATTTCTCAATATATCTAAAGAGCATCAAGGACTAGCACGTTGATTTAGATAAAAGAATTTATTTAACATGATGTCAACACCAGAAACAATTGAAGAAAATAAAAATTTATCTAATTATAGATAAATCTTATTTAACTTTGAAACAAAAAGGAACCTAAAAATTCAAGCTTTAGTAAAAGAAGGCAAGTTAAAGAGTAATAATATTGATATATATATAAGCACGAACACCCAATAACACGCAATGCTATCTACACTGTTTGTCATACTGAGCATGTGAGCAGTACTATGATATAATGAAGTTATTCAAATTGTCACTACTCATAGCACCTAGCACAGCAAATGTCAAAAAAGGGTTCTTCATGCTAAACTTAATACATTCTAAAGAAAGAAATCAGCTTAGTATAATAGTACTTAATTGCCTTATGCAAATTTCTTTGGTTGGCCAGGAAACAAATCAAACTTATGAAGAGCTAATTGACATTTATATAGACTCGGGCGAGAGACGTAATTATTTATAAAATGTCTAGCCTTTCTAATATGCCTTAAATAAATCTTGTTAGTTTATTTGAAAGAAATATATATATAAATATTTATGTTGTCATTGTTTGAAATAATTTTATATTTTTTCAACATCGTTAAATTATTTTTCAACTAAGCATTGTATTTTTATTATCTTTTAATTTCCAAAATTCTTTTGATAGTTCTGTATTGCTCAAATATTTAGGAATGTTTAATGATTTTAAATGGTTGGCATATCTCAGTTTAAAAGTTGTTTTACAATTGATAACATTTGGAGTGCTTTACTACTGATTTAGATGCAAAATATTTTTCTGTGAGTTTAATTTAGAGAGAAACTAATTTAACCAAATTCATTTTTTTCAGGATTCCTTAATCTAACTGTTTGATTGTTTGTAAAATTAGTTTTATGGTCTAATTTTATGTTATCAAATGGTTTGAATTTTATAAAAGATAACACCTTTATAAATACCACATTTTTGATATCAACGATTTCTAACCTTCAATTAGTGAAAAACGTCTTAACAATTCTATTAATTTTGAGGAAAAATACCTTATTATAGGCACAGAACATAATTACTCATGCAAGGAAATCTTTACTGTTTAATAATAACCAGGTTTAGATTAAAAAATTGAGCGGTTTGTTTTGAGGTTAAATGGGTGCATTTGATTGTGCAGAGGTATGAGAATTTATAGGGATATTCATTCTTTTTCAAATTTCAAATTTTATTAATAAATATGACTTTAGCTTATACCACAATAACGGATTAGCAGGTTTTGAAAATACTACCGGTCCATATATAAAAAAATAAAAAGCAAATCACGCACTTATTTGAATGTAATGATCTTACCATACCTGCGCAGAGCAACCTCAAAGTTGTGAACTACCTCAACATAACTTATCATCTCTGTGACCAGTCATACCAACCATACTGCAAACCTGGAAATACTTTTAACTTCATACTTTTTTTTTCAACATTGTTGCTTCCAACAAGGCTGCAAGCAACCACTATTACAGTTGAAAGTTGTTGAGAAAGAAAAGATAAAGTTTATAGAGTAAGATAACGATTGACAGATGATTTAAAAAATTATAGTATTTGTAGAAAAGAGAAAGGGAAGCAGCATTACAACGATGTGATAATGGTTGGAGGTTGGCTGCAAGAGCAGATTCAACTATGGTTACAGTGCATTTTTTGCACCTTGTCTAAAAGAAAATTGGCATCATTGGAAGATCCCCCCCCCCCCCCAGATATGGCAACAGTATTCCATACAAGGCTGGATTTGAGATTTATAGAAATAGAGAATAGAATCCGAAGTAAGAAAGTGGCGAGCACGATAAAGAAATGCACTTTAGCAGATTCTAATTTTGCAGATGATTTGATATATGGTTTCCAAGAAAGATTTAAAGTAAGTGTTATTCCTAGAAGATGAAGGGTAGAGGACTCATAGAGTACATTACCATTCATAAATATAGGAAGATCTAAATTATTGCGATTACAATTGACTGAAAAAAATTGGGTTTTATCTGAATTAAAGTTCACCAGCTACTGTAAAGTACTACCAACTTTTTTTTTTTTTTTATTTGCATTCACTCCCAACAAGGCTGCAAGCAACCACTATCAAGTTGGGAGTTACTAGGAAAAAAAAAAACAGAGTTATAGAGCAAGGAAACGGTTGACAGAAGACTTGAAAAGTTGAAGGTTGTATGAGTCAGGAAAACATGAAGATGGGAGAGAGTTCCAAAGGATTGAAGTGCGGGGAAAAAAACTAGATGAATAAAAGTTTTTAGAGCATGCAGGGACAGATACAGTAAACGAATAAGACTTAGCTGAATGACGAGTAAAACGAGAATGAATTTCAGTTGATGGAACTAGAGATGATAACTCCTTTGAGCAGTGACCATGATAGTATTTGTAGAAAAGAGAAAGAGATGAATCGTTAGAAGAACCAGCCCAAATATGACAACAGTATTCCATACAGGGACGAATAAGAGATTTGTAGAGGTAGAGAATGGAATCAGAAGTAAGGAAATGGCGAGCACAATAAAGAGAAGCAACCTTAGCAGAAGCTAATTTAGCAATCGATTGTATATATGGTTTCCATGAAGACGTAAAGAGGACGACTCAGTAAGAGGATTGCCATTCATTAATATAGGAATGTTGTACATATTATGGTAGTTGTTTGCAGTAAGCAACTGGGTTTTTTTAAAGTTGAAATTCACAAGCCACTGTTAACCCCAATCTATTACTGAAGTGAGATCAGATTCAAGATCAGCTGCTTGTTCTAGGCGATCGAAAAGAGAAGACTTTTTGTCAAGACAGGAGTATAAAGTTGAGTCATCAGCAAAAAGAGCTACTTTAGATGAAAGGTTGTCAGGAAGATCGTTTATGTAGATAAGAAACAAAACAGGGCCCAGGATGGAACCTTGGGGAACCCCAGAAGTTACTGGAAATAAAGAAGAGTCTTGGCCCTCAAGGATGACTTTAATAAACCGGTTAGAAAGAAATGATTTGATAATCTCAAAAACTTTCCCAGAAACACCATATGAAGCAAGCTTATGGAGAAGACCAGCATGCCAAACTTTGTCGAAAGCTTTAGATATGTCGAGAGCAATAGCCCTAGCCTCACTGCCTCCATCTAATGCACGATAAAATCTTTCAGTTACAGCAGTTAGCAAGTCGGCCGTAGAGCAAGAGGATCGAAAACCGTATTGTCTGACAGTAGTTTATTTGACTCAAGATGAGATGTGAGGAATTTGTTGATCAAAGACTCAAAGACCTT